GACAATTGTCGAAGTTTTGAGAGAGTTGAATGCGGATATATTGGCTTTGCAAGATGTTAAAGCAGAGGAGGAGAGAGGGATGCAGCCATTGTCGGATTTGGCCGCTGCTTTGGGGATGACTTATGTGTTTGCCGAGAGTTGGGCTCCTGAGTACGGTAATGCCATCTTGTCCCGGTATCCAATCAAGAGGTGGAAGGCTCAAAAGATTTTTGATGATGCTGATTTCAGGTTTGAATTAATCTCCTTCGTTCAATTTTCCTTCTGTCTTTCTCGTTAATACTGCTTAATTACTCCAGATTCTTGTGATATTTCTTTCCATCTTACCGCTACCAGGCTTGATATAATTTCTTCATCCGATTACTGTTTATTGTATCCACTAACACTAGCTAAGTTCTCCAGATTAATTCTTGAAATATTGCTTTGTATCATTAATACGACGAGCTCAAAATTGATCATTGACCAATTTTTTCGTCCAAGAGCCACAGTAAGTACGATGAAAAATTTACTTAGAAGCTTCAAATAAAGAACGTTAATATACATTAGAGGTCAAAACCATTTCATAAATTTGCTCATTAGATAATTAATAGTATGTTTTTGTTTTTAGTCAACTCTGCTGTTCTTGGCAGACAAGCTGTCTCCGTTAGTTTATTGTTTAGTGTTTAGGCAACGACGTCAGGGTGGTTGTTTTGGGCCAGAATGCTTTCGTTAACATACAATCTGGAACAACAGCTGTAGTATGTCTGTAGCAGGTGACCTTCAGGACTCCATTATTGAATAATTGATGATAAATGAATCATGAAAGTGGGATTTTAAAATATTTTGCAGTCACCCATGAAGTTCCGCATCTGTTTCCTCATCGGCTTATTCTCACAACTGGGTAGTACCATTTGCTTTCCATAATGTCGAGTATGTCATCGCCTTTTTATCAGTTTTCTATGTTGCATCTCCCGTGGATGCGTCTAACAGTTGTGCACCATGAAGAGTAAGAGAAAACATTAGTCTCAATTGATAAGGAGGATTCACTTCTTGGTATTGCTGCTGTTGATAGAAGAACTGATGTCTGGATAGTAGATTTTTTAGGATAATATTTTTTCTTGAAAAAATATTGTAACACTTTTTTATATAATACTATATGTAAGATAAATAGATAGTCAGAAAAATATGTTGATGATATAAACAAATAAATTTTTGCAAATAAGGAACTATCCGAAACAAACCTGTAAGAATTCATGTCAGAAATACATGGTGACAATAGATTTGTTTGGATTGCGGTTTATTTGCCAAAATATATTTGCTTACATCATTATTACAATTTCCAACACACTTTTTTATCTTTTCAATTATCTTTTTATCTCACATACATCACATCACAAAAAATGCTACAGTAAAAAATCTCTAATAATTCACAATCCAAACAAACCCAATGGAAGTGAATCTACCCGAACTTTTTTCTACCCAAAAAAAAAAAAAAAGGTACAACAGATAATAATAATAATGTTAACTTTGCTAGAACCAATTAAACGGACTGAAAATCTGATGACTACTTAGAATGGCGACCTTTGACTTCGACATCAATAGTTCGGTTATTCCGTTCAGTCCTGATCCGCTCATTGGAATTGTAAAGCATTTTGTGTTATCAATCCTTAACGGAGCAGCTTGAATTGGTACGGCAATTAATGATTTACTCGTGATCCTATCTATCTCGTACACCACTGCCGTGCGTGCCGTTGGAGGGACTACCACTAAGAATTTGGCATTAGAAGGCTACCACTATCTTTAACGATTTTAGAACTTCAGACCATAGTTGAACTGGAGACTACATTGTTTGTGGGTACTTTGAGTCCAGAACAAATGATTTGGTCATATGGATAGAGATATTTAGTTCATATTCAGAATAATTAAACTCATGTTGACATTGCATGCAGAAACGTTCTTAAGGCCACAATTGATGTTCCTCACATAGGAGAATTGAACTTCTACTGCACCCACCTTGATCATTTAGATGAAAACTGGCGCATGAAGCAGATCAATGCGATCATCCAATCCACTGACGCGCCTCACATCTTGGCTGGCGGCCTAAATTCACTTGATGAATCAGATTACTCCCCAGAAAGATGGACGGACATTGTAAAGGTAAACTTCCCTGCTTTATTTACCAGTTATTTTCACTTCACATGCAGCTTAGATATTTCATAATGAATGAAATTATCTAGAAATCAGCAACTGACGAAGAATATAAATGCAGTACTACGAAGAGATGGGAAAGCCGACTCCCAAGGTTGAAGTGATGAAATATCTCAAGAGTAAACAATACACAGATGCTAAGCATTTTGCTGGAGAATGCGAGTCTGTCGTCATGATTGCCAAAGGACAAAGTACGAATTAGAAAGAAAGAAAGGAAAAAAAAAAAAAACATTTTCGACATTTTCCTTGCTAAATCAAATTGATATGCCTCCATCTATCGTGCCTAAATTGACCATCTATCGTCTCCTGTGCATGCATCAATGTATTCAGGTGTGCAGGGGACTTGCAAATATGGAACTCGGGTAGATTACATACTATCTTCACCAAGTTCTCCATATAAGTTTGTTCCTGGATCATACTCGGTCTTCTCCTCGAAGGGGACTTCCGATCATCACATAGTGAAGGTTGATGTGATAAAAGTAGCAGATAGCAGCATGTCTCAACAATTTGTTCACGGGAAAAAGCGGCAGCCGAGACAGAGAGTTGTCAGGATAACACATTCATCTTCAGCCAAGGGTGTTTGGAAGGCTTAGAAATGATTGGTGAAGCGTCAGAAATGTGCTGCTGATTAATTGGAATAGTTATTTTCTGTCTTGGATTATTCCTCCCAGCTCAAGGCTCAAGCAGTAGATGAGGGAAGAAGATTTAAGATTCACCTCCGACTCCGTCTTCCTCGGTTTGTGCAAATGAGTATCCATGTCTAATTTACAGATACAGAAAACATCAACCGTGTAAATTCGTCCTCTCTCGAAGTCTTGGGAAAGAAAACTATATTGTTCTTCGCAATAGATACCTCTGTACGACATGGAAATGTTAGGTTCAGATTAAATGCTATTGATTTTTCTCCTACAATTGATCTTGTTTCTAACCTTTTGTTTATAGTCTCACTTTTTTTTTTTAATCAATCATCAACTCTTACACTGCTACTCCAACTATTCTATACTTTTGTTTCTAGTCACTTTTTTTAATTTTTTTTTTTGTCAATCATCAACTCTTACACTGCTACTCTGATTCCTGCAGGTGCAAAGGCCCTCTTACATATGGTCAAGGCTGCACTATATACTTCATCTGGTGCCCGACTCACCTAAAGCGGGTTGATTGATAGTCACATTATTATTTGGTTCCCAATTCATTTAAACGTTCTTCCTCAAATTTGTTATGTTTCTCTTTTGTTTCTGCCCCTCTATCCCTGCATCCAGAATTGCCTTGCATCTATGTATCCAGAATCGCAATATGGAGGGGTATTTGGATTTGGATCTGTGCTCAGTGAAATTGGGACGTATTTAACCATCGAGTTTGGCTCGTGCCACCACTCAAAGCCTGTAAGACTTGATGGGGTGGGAGATCAAGAGTTCAAACCTTATCTCCTACTTATCTCCTACTATCTGTCACTATACGTGGCCCACCACTTCAAATAGTTTCAGACGGATGCGTAGTCCATGCCACTTTAATGCACCCGTTTGAGATGGTAATGGTTCAGTCCGCATCGATTTTTTCTTGAATCTCTTCAGGTCTCTCTTCCTATAGCATAAAATAAATATAGATCTATCGTGTTCGAAAAAAAAAAAAAATTGAGACGTATTTGGTTCTTTCGGATTATGAAGCTACCCCTTAATTCCAAGAACAAGGTCCTAGAAACCACATTGCTTCTGCACTAATATTCGTATCCAACCCTACAAGCAAAGGAAAGCTAATGGACACCAAACTACCAAAGCCTTGGGCAAATTATCAAGTTAACCCAAAAGCGCCACGGGCAGTCTTCCGTTGCTTCATGGTTTTTCGTTTTTTGGTTCAACGTTTGTCATTTTTACTCCGTTAGAGTCTAGACTCCGTCTCCTTTAATACTAACCGCTGTTCGGATTTCTTTCTCTATTTTCTTCTGAAATTTATCTTCCTTCTCTTTTTCTTTTTTTCTCTGAACAATTTAACTTCCTTTTTCCATGTCAAATTTACCACTAGTAAAGTATCTTTATACAGCATGAGAATTTAAAGAAGAAGAAGAATAGACTTATTGAGGCTTAATTCAATTGAAGATATAGTACATTAATCTTCTTCATTCCCGGCCGCTCCAACTGATCTGCCTGGAAACTTCGACGCCGGCTGGTTAGCTTGATTTCCGGAGGCCCTTAACCACATTTGGTAATTACTACGCACACTCTCGAGCCCTTCCTCCCTCCTAACTCTCAAAATTCTGCCATGTCTAAATTTGCCACTGAGGAGGACGCATTTGCCACTGAGGAGGACGCCGGCGAAAGTTCTGGCGAACAGAACAGAGGGATCACCGGCGAAGGACGATTCGCGACTCGGACTGAGAGCCCAGGGTTTGAGAACTTCAACGAGAGAATTGTATCCAGTGATACACGAGAGGAGGAGGAGGGAGGGAGACACCAATCGCCGACGGCCGAGATGGGGTCGGGGTCGAGGCGGAGAAAGATGCTGAGGAAATCGACTTGGTTGGATACGAGTGATTTCCCGCCACTGCTGTCAATTTTGAACAAGAACGGACGGTCCAGATTCGATTTCATTAAAACGAGGGACAATGGACGGCTACAGATGACGATTGTGCCAAGCGAACGTCGCGAAGTAGTAGCATTTCAGACTCCTCCCATGCGCATGAACAAGCGTCTGCAAATGCTGCTAATCAAGACCGACGACGATCAAGATCATGAGGATCAATAACATCATGATCACCTCACCACCATGATGATATGATCACCACCAGAAAGAAGAGGAAAGATTACAATCCAATGTTGGCGATGGCACACACCAGCTTCAGGTGATCAAAAGTGATCTGATGTTGCACCGTACTTACTGCTGCTACTTAGTAGTTACCCCCTAGAAAAATTTTAATTGACGATTCAAGTTTAGGTGAAGTTACCCCGCATCTGGGAGATGAAACCATTTTTTGATACTTTTGATTTGACGCATCCATTCCAGCTTCGGATGCATGATCAGAACATCACGGTCAGTAGTTTAAAAAAAAATAAAGGGATTTTAGTAAGAATCGGGAATGCAAAGAATTGCAGAAAAGCGTTGGGAGATGAAGGCTATTGGAGAAATCAAGAATAATCAAGAATTCATTCCCGTCCAGCCGCCAACTTTAATTTTTGAATTTTGTTTGACGTGCAAAGAAAGGGAAAATTAGGAGCTGGAATATTGCATGCTTTTGTTCTTGTACGTAGATCGAACGTGTTGTATTAGTTAATTCTTTTTTTTTTTTGCTCTGAAATTTCATTTCATGAACTCCATCAATCATGTCCATGGGTAACCAGCTAGCGTGAATGTCTTGAAAAAGGAAGATTTGTGACGTATGATTGAAGTTCGAGGCTCTCTATATGCATGTATGTATGCATGTCTTCAAAACTCAAAACTAGTTAGTCAGCAAAGTGAATAACTAGCTGCTTACATTAATTACCAATTACCAAACAAAATAGCACACTTTACCATCTTTGATCAGTTTGTCCAATTTCCACATGTCTGTACTCTAGTCTTGTAGGTTGCATCGATAAATCAGAAAACTAAAGGCATGCAATAATCTTCGAATAAATGAAATTACTTTACTTAAATGAAGGTTAATTTGATACTTCTAGTTTACGGTTAATTTGCATTCTTGTTTGGCGTTGTCTTCTTCACTTTTAAAACAAATTGACCATATGCGCAAATTCGCATGAACATTTTTTTTCTAAGTAAACGAAAGATTTTAAATTCAAAACTTCCACTTATAGTTCCTCTCCGCTTACCACCTAATCCAACCCCTTCCATGGCTATGTGTGTGGCACGCCATATGGTTGGATTGAGCGCTATTTGTTTACCATTTGGGAGATTGAAGGGAAAGGGGGCTTAGCAGTGAAGTTCTGGCATTGCATGCAGGAGATCTGTTTCTTGGCAAGTCACAGGCAGGCAATTGGGATTTTATGCCTATGTGGCTATTTATTTAGTATTATTTTGCAGTCCCCTTAGACAGAGAGAATTAGCATACACATAAGTAGTATCAGTTAAATAACACGCATGCCTCTGCTTCAAATGATATGAACCAAAAGTAACAATTCAGAGACGTTCACCTTCTAAATTATTTAGTATTTTTTTCCCTCTAATCTCCTTTTTGTTTTTGTTTTTGGATCTTTTCATTGACACCAAAACTAGTACTACTACCCTATTTGGACTCAAGCCCGGAACAGCAGCTTCTCTCTTGGCTTACAATTCCAGATTCCAGCAGTACTGCAAAATTTCGGAGGTACCTTCATATTTTCCACTAGTACTATTAACGCAAGTTCATATGGATTTTATAGATTCTATTTTGCTTTCTTTTCACTAATTTTTTTTTCATCGTGTCGATCTGCCCACAGGCTATCTCCTTCCAGGCCCCTGGAGCCAAGGCAAACAAGGTTCTAGGGCTCAATTACGCAGGCAATGTTGCAGATGCTAAAGGTGGAAACGAGGTCATGGCCGCCTCTACCTGTTCTTTCCACGGTAAGCGTTCAAATTTTTGTCGCTTTCTCTCGACCGCCGTTAGTCCAAAAGGAGTTACTTGTAGGCTCAGATGGTTACCAGCAAATGTTCCGTCACCTCCTTTGCGCGCTTAGGGAATGCTACGTTTTTCATGGATTCGAGTACCATTTGCTGCTCTCCTCATCAGAGTATTTGCGCTTTCGAAACCAATTATTTATGGCAGCATCTCCAGAATGTCCATATTTTAAAAATTACAGATCTTGCTTGCAATGAGTGAATTAGATATTCTGGTTCTTTCGGGGCCCAACTTGGTTTATCCAAAAGTGTCCGTTCAAATTACCAATTTTTTTTTTTTTTTTTTTTTAAAAAAGAATTGGAGTGGTATTATAACCAAACTATGGTAAGTAGCAAGGCAGCACTATGGATAACTGAAACTTAAAACAGGGGGATTGTTTCGATGCCCTCTGGGTGATATGGTAAAAGTTTTTGGTTTTTATATCTCATTACCGCGGATTCAGTTACTAATGAGAGCTCCTAAATCTTCTGATGAAGCCATATCTGAAAGGGATCTGCTGTCCGGTGTCTGCAGTAAAAAATTTTCAACTGGTGGCAACAGATGCTACGGCAGCACAAGTTATAAGAGTTTGGGAGTTTTTTTTAGACGATCAATTGGAGCCCAGGCAGAACAAGGGCGCCGTGGGAGTAATGGAGATTGGAAATCCGAGCAGCTATTTGGCGATATCAGGAGGTGTTGCTGTTTTCTCCAGACCCGTCTAGGAGTCTTATACCAGTTGATGAAGGTAAAAAGCTGGCAGCTTTCAGTTTGCTTCAAGTAGCAGTGGAATATGGGTCCACAGCAGGTCAATATAAGCCACCAAAAATTATAAGAAGCCATCAGATTGCTGAGTCCTACGAAATCGTCTGCTATTGTCACTGTTACAACCTTTAGTGCTTTGAGCTTTTACCCAACTTTGCATGGGATTCTATTTACAAGTTTCAAGCCTCTGTTGGCTGTGAGCTTTATCATTTGTGATCAACATCGTTAAATTCCTATTCTTGTCATCTTTTGATTTATAAATTACCATTTTTTTTAACGTCCTGGTTAATAGATGTAAAATGTACTTCATGGTAAAATTACCAGCAGTTGCAGAGATTGGTCGGGTAAATATCTTGACCATACATTAGAACATCCACAAGCAAAAGAGGAAACACAATTAAATGCTTCTTCTCCTCTATGGTGTTGTCATCCTTCAAAATTCAAATTGGTAACTTGCACATGGTATTTGTAGAATGGAGAATACGTACAGATGCAAGCTTCTTGCCATTACTTGTGGAATAGTTATGCATGTTGATCTACAAGTCCAATATTATGAAGCTATGTTTACTTGTTCTTTTCTGTCATTGACCTTGCCACAGTTGTTTATGCTCTGGATTCTCTTTTGTGAAACATATGCATGATATGCCAGTAGACATTGGAACTCAAATCAGAGGATGTGTTTAATAACACAATTGAACATTTTAAATTGAAAATTCATAATTTATGAAAATTATATCAAGGTGTCCTCCTGAGCTTCTGAACCCTTCTGCAGTGCTGTTGACTTATAAAAGTCCCATATAGAGACAAGTAGGAAGCATGCTTCTTCAATCTCGTGTCAATGTGAAGCATTAATTGCAGACTGTATTTGTTCCAACGATCTACCTTTGGTTTCAGGTACTACTATGGTCACGAACAAGATTCCAAGTGCATTGATTGCAGCGTAAAGAATAAAGGTTCCTATACACACATTCATGAACTTAAGCACATTTCTTGTAATGGAAAGCAACCTCGATGCAGTAAACTGTTCCTAATGGCAAATGAAGACATTGGCCTGAGCAAGTTGTCAATCTTTCTGTTGCCTCTGGTAAGTGCACGAGTGCCAACTAAAGTGACAGTAAGTATGCACAGTATGCAAAAGAATCTGGAGTGACTCTTTCTGTAGGATAAATTATTTAACCTAAAATCTGTCCAGCCATTTTTATGGCATTTTGCACGATTTTTTGGGTCTTATCAGGAAGAACATTAAATATTTGCTTACCAGGGGAGCTCCAAGTCATCAGATAATTGAAGGTGTAGGAACACAACCAGGCGCCAAACCAATTCACTAGTGTTGCCAAGCTTCCAGCCACTCCTTTAATATTTATAGGGAATATCTTTAACACATACGACAAAAGACAATTCTCAATTAGAGGTCTCCACTAGAAGTGTAGAATGTAGATGATGATGAACAGTATAGAAACAATTACCTCTGACATCACAACCCATGGCACTGCTCCCATACCTGCTGAAAAGGACCCTATGTAGACCTGAACTTTTCAAGATATTATAACACCAGTTACGTTGTATATAGGATTTCCTTTTACAAGGTTTTTCCATTTTTCGTAGGTGCAAGGGGATAAGGAGACAAGTTGGAGTAGCATAGCCTGGGGAGTGGATTTATGGTATTTTGGAAGATTAGGATTGAGGAGATTGTAATATTACCAGTACTCCAGTTACAGCAAGTACTGGGACTGTTTTCAGTGCTAGTTCATGAACCTGTCAAGAGCACGACTCTAGCATCAAAATCTTTTGAACTTGAAAAAAAGCGTTAAAATTACTTGGATGATGCTGGGACAAGTGTTCACCTTAAGGTAGAATGAGATCCCTGTTAATAAACAGCCTATTACTAGTCCTGCTCCAGAAACCTAGAATTCCAGGTTTAGTCTTTCATTGACCAAATATGACTGTATTCCATAACATAGTTACAGATTAAGGCATTTCGAATGGATAGTTACCAATAAAAGAGGTTTTCTTCCAGCTCTGTCAACTAAGGTTGCCCCTAATCCTGTGATCACGACCTGGAAAATAAAACGCAACAAAAAATCAATAGGAAAACAAACAAACTTCTTATGAAAATGATATTCTTAGTTTTTTTTTTATCTCTGTAGAACACATGAGTAGAGATAGGACCTGAAGAATAGCATATGTAGTTGTTCCAACATCAGGATTGAATCCTAGGGAATTACAAATGAGAAGACAAGCAATATAAATTTCAATTTGAAGGTTAGGCATTCAAAACTAAACTCTAGAAAGTGAAGGAAACGGTTGTTGTTGTGGATAGTCCCATTATTGTGTGCCCATGGCATGTCTTCTCTTTCTTGATATGCATATCCATGTGTATGACAGATACCAAAAGCTAAAACAATATTCTTGTGAAAGAAGCAATTTAAACATGTCATCTATGACGAATAAAGTACTAACAAATACTTAGAAACTATAACATGTCATGACAATGCATTTACTAATTCTTGAGACATTTCTCCTTCCCTTGCATGAATTGGTTCATCTTGGGTAAATGTGTCAGTTGTTGTATAGAGAGAGAGAAAGGGAAGGAAGAGGGGTGGGGTATTTTTTTGGGGCAAGGGTTTGGTTTGGGTGGGGGGGGGGGGGACATTTTACCTGCTGTCTCAAAAATACTGCTGGTGTAAAAGCAGACTCCATTGATCCCGCCAAGTTGTTGAACAACCATGAGGCCAACTCCTATCTGCCCACAAAGTCAATTATGCAAATTACTCTAGAAAAAGTGGAGTTTCAATTTCTGATTATTGGAGTTGATGAAAAGATATCCAAAGTAGATATAAAAAAAAAAACATAATTATACACTAAATCCATTGTATGATTTCAATAAAAAAACGTGGGGGAAACAAAGAGAGAGAACAACTTCATATAGGAGACAAGGAAAGATGTATTTACAGTGACTGAGCGTAAGTATCTTCTCTGAAAAAGATCTACTATTTTAGCTTTTGGGAGCCGCTCAAGAGTTTCTATATAGTCCTGTCAAAGAAATTGCATAAAAACTTATCATTATCTGCTGTCTCGGTGCGCCTCTCAATGAAATAATCAAGAGCTGAGAAAAACACAAACTTGGATTTCAACAGCCTCTTCAGATATGTCAGCTTTGCTGCCACGAAGTTTTTGTAATGCTACTTCAAACTCTCTTCGGCGTCCCCCCTTTGCCTGTAGACATGTTTAAGTATCAGCTTCACTGATTTTCTATGCTAACCCTTTTATCAAATTGCAGAAAGTATTAAATTTCAAGACTTGTTCCTTACTAGCCATCTGGGAGACTCTGGAATCATGAAGAGGCCCAGAAGCAGAACAGCACATGGTATAAGCCCTGCAAGCACATGATTGGTGAGTTCCTTTAATGACCATCATCATCTTAAGGTCCTCAATTTGTTTCGACTTCTAGTTAGCAGACCCTTGCTTTAGGGCCCAGTATAATGGTAAATGGATTTTACCCAGTATCAAGACTTACCTACTAAAGCCAAAGTCCTCCATGCTAGCAAGGTCCCTATTATGAAGGACACAGATACTCCAGCAACAATCATGAACTGTAGGATCAGAGGGAAACAAAGGCATGATGTCAGATCTTTAAAGGCCAAATTCTTTTGCTTTTGTTGTTACCCATGAAACCTAGTTTACTTCCATACAGGTCATGTTTATGTGTTGATTGCTTTTTACCTGGTTTATTGTGGTCAAAGCACCCCGCAAATCTTTGGGTGCAATTTCAGCTATAAAGACAGGTACCTGATCATCAGGAACATTCACGTCAAGCTAAAAGAAATTTATCTGAGGCGCTTAGTGATTCACAGGATTACCTACCACGTAAGAAAAGACTCCCATTCCATATCCTGTTGCCATTCTTCCAATGTCCAGAGGCACAGCCCCCTGTAACAATGCACTCATATATCAGTTACAGTTTTCTATGCCCATGATGTTTTTGTAAACATCTTTTAGACAAGTCAAATTCTCTCCAATTCCTAGGAGAAGAAAATATTAAGTGGTTATTGTGGATTTACCTTAGAAAAATAAATGGCTAGCCAGCCTGCCACACAGAAACCGCTTGCCAGTCTCATCGCCTGCTCCCATTTGAATTGAACTGATGATCAATATACACTACCAGATCTAGAAGCAATAAGTTTGGGAAAATTATTTGATAGCAGCTGGTTCAGGTTTGTACTATCTAGCTTACCCCTTTCCTACCAACGAAATCAGCAATTGGACCGCTTGTAATAGCTCCAATCATTGCCCCGAAAGTCAATATTGAACCGAACAGTGAGTACTGCATACAATCACCAGTAAGAAAGTTCTGAATTTTTTGTTCTTGTTTTCATGCTAAAACTTAATATCAAAAGTTAAAGTGTTTTTCAGGCTTTACTTGCAATGAAGTACAGTAAGTTATTCGAGTCAAAGTCATTTACTTCATCACTTTAAACCAGGTTGCATTGTAACAAGCTGCAGAAAATCTCTAAAGACTCCTCTTAACCACAATTCGACATGGTTAACCCTGTTGAGACATTTTGAAATCTCAAAATCTTCGAAGCAATGTCTCCACTTACCAGTTTTTAGGGTGTCTTCATTAATGCTAATTTAATTAATTGATGCTACATTCATCTCCTTGGATAACTACTTGATGAAAAGCCTATAATTGCTAGTATTATTGTTTTCTTCCTTGATATCTAGTGAAATAACCCCTTTAATCTGTAAAACTTAAGAGGTCAGAACAGAGGCCTGGTAAAAGACATGATTACTTTGGGTGCACAAGAATTAAGACCTGTGGTGATTGCCCTTGAGAGTCTATGTCCTTATTGTGGGATTTGTGAGTAATTCATGTGCACTAGACAGAACTGCATCTGCATATCAAGTGTGTTGTCAGGGAACAAACCTCTGGTATTGAAAGATTGAGATCCTCCCTTATGGCAGATTGCGTAGGTGATGAATAGCCTGCCTGAAAAGTTAATGAACGCACACACACACCGAGTTATTGGAAGTAGACGTAATACATGTGCAGAAGAATCCATCCATCTTTTTACAAGGAAGACTGAAGACAATGGAAGTCAATCACTTACACAGCACCCGAACTCATAAGCACCACA